GCACACACACCCACTGCCACCCCCACAGCCTTTGGTACACATCCGAGAGCTGTTCTTGAGACAGACACAGGGTGAGCCAAGCTTGTCATCAGTAGAAAAGACCCTAGGGAGCCTGTGTGCCTGTTAACCATCCCATGATCTCTGGCTTGTCTATGTGTTTGCAAGGACTTGGCAGCCCCTGTGTGTTGACACAGACCCAGAAGGCCTCTGGCATCTCTGCTGTAGCTAGCTCATCCAGAACTGCCTTGCTGAGATGAAGCAAGAATTCTGAGGTCCAGGCCGCAGGCATGGCATTCATCTGCAGTTCTCTCCAGGGTCCACACAATCCCCCAATATGGCAAGTTAGTGTGGAAGAGAGCCCCCTTGAAACTGCAGCATGTGGGGAGAATGGAGAGGAAGGAAGAGATTTGAGCAGCAGCAGAGGGGGGAATGTAAGCCCAGCACTTGTACTCAGTAGATCCTGCAAACTATGGCAGACGGGGTTGGGACCCGTAGCCTGATGCCATGAGGTCAGTCTGACATGACAGACAGAAAGAGCCATCTCCTCCTCCATAAGCATGCTATGGCACACACGTGCCCACACAAACACATGCACATACCATAAGTAGATAAATAGGAAAATGCTTTTTAAATGACAAGGGTACAGGCTAGGGATCTCCTTTTTCTGTCCAACTCTAATTACATGTAAATTTTATTACCAGTCTAAGACTTGATGCCAACCCCCAAATGAAGAACTGTCTTGTCTTCTTTTCAAAAGACCCAGGGCACCCTGCAGGCTAGGCAAGTGTTCTCCCACCAAGCTCTGCCCCACCCAGGAAAGGACATTAGTATTGGGCTCATCCCCCATGAACCTCACTCCAGATAAGTCACAGTGACAGCAGACCTGTGTCTTCAGAGACCCCCAGGGCCCCAGCTTCCATTCAGGAGCACACAAGGCTGAGTCCCAACCCTGTTCAACACTCAGCTTGTGTGTGGGGGATAAATCGGCAGCTTGGGAAAAGCCACCCAACACTTTGATTTGTTACAGAGTCATTCATTTTCAGGACAAGTAAACAGCTTGTAAACTCGGGGGTTACCACTGTAGGTGATTAAGAAGTAAGCAGCTATAAAGTTCATTGTCCCTATGGAATTCTCCTGAGCAGTGTTGGGGTCTGCCAGATGTTCGCAGTGTTTCGTCTGCTGGCTTCTCCTCCAGCCCAGGGGCCTATAGCTAAGGGCAGGAAGCACTGCCTACCCGAAAAGAGCTCCTGCTTGAGACTGCCCGCAAGGCCCCATCCACCTGCCTCTGCCACAGTTCAAGTCGCCTGCCCCTACCTAGAACCTGGCCCAGGATATCAGTGAGCTTGGTCAGTTGAGAACAGTAGTTCTTCATGAACATTGTACAAAAAGCTGCTCCTTGGCTAAGTGCAGGGTCCCAGCGAGGCTACAGGGAAGGGGTGTGTAGAGCAGGGCTCCTGTCTATAGACAATGTGAAGGAAGTGAAGACGTGCAGAGCCTTGCCTGAACCCCACCCCTACCCCCACTGACCAGTAAGTTTCCCCAGGGGCCAGAACCTGCTCTACCCTTTGTACTACATGGAGCTGAACACACTGCTCCCGTGGAAGTGTTGTATGCTTTTCAGTCCACATGGTCTCCCTGACAGTGATTCTACTCTGTGTAACCAGGCTACATTTAAACCAAGTTCCGAAAGTTTGTCCTCCGAAGACTACTTGATGAGTTAGTACTTCTCTTGTTGGTGTGCAAGCAGCTTAAGGAAGGTCGATTTGAGCTCCTGCTTTAAGGGGATACAGCCCATTATGGTGGGGAAAGTCTGGTGAACTGCAGTGGCTTGTCACTTTGCATCCACATTCAGGAAACTGAGAGATGAATGCTGGGGTTCCTCTTGCTGCCTCCTTTTTATTCAGTCTGGGCCCCCAGACCATGAGATGGTGCTCCCATGTTCAGAGTGGGTCTTACTCCTCGGTTAAACCTCTCTGGGGACACTCTCACAGATAGGCCCACAGGAGTTTCCATGGCAATTCCAAATCTAGTCACATTTGCTGTCACACTTATCAAAAGGCAGTGGCCAGCACCTATGTTCTATGCAAGTAGAACAGGCTGGTCCTGAAGGGCCTCCTGGAGGAAGTGTCAGGAGCTGGAGGCTCCAGCAGTGCAGAAGGAGCAAAGTGAGGCTGGTGCTGCTGAGCGTGTTCACGAAGAGTGGCCAGGAATGTCAGGGTACCCTTCCTGTTAAGGGACTTGCCCCTGACCCTGTCTTACTTACTATAGCTCTGACCGAGGGAGCAGATGCAATAAGGTCTGTGGAGCACCAGCTCCAGAGGCTGCAGTGGAAACCACATGTCTGCATGGGCTCATGGGTTATCAACATAGTTGTTCCTGGGAATTTTCATGTCGGTAGAGAAAACAATCAGATGTTGCAGCCCTTTGGGAGGGCTGAATGTAAGAGCTCAGAAGCCCCAGTCTGTGTGGAATGTGAGGCAGGGGTACAGCTCCTGGGCTGGCCAGCAAGACTGAGCTTCATCATAATGAGGTACTTTTTGGGTTTGGAGTTTTTGTTGTTGGGTTCTCTCTTGAGACAGGATCTTACTATATAAACCAAACGGGCCACAGATTCAGAGGTCTGCCTGCCTCTGCCTCATGAGGGTTGAGTGTTGAGATTAAAGGTGTGTTCCACCACACCCAGTATAAAGAACACTTTTCTTTAAAAAAAAAAAAAAAATAAGATTTGCCAGGCAGTGGTAGTGCACTCCTTTAATCCCAGCCCTTGGAAGGCAGAGGCAGGCAGATCTCTGAGTTTGAGGCCAGCCTGGTCTACAGAGTGAGATCTAGGACAGGCACAAAGCTACACAGAGAAACCCTATCTCAAACAACAACAGCAATAATAACAAGATTTATTTTTTTATTTTATGTATCTGAGTATTTTGCCTATATAAATGTATGTACACCATGTGTGTGCCTGGTACCCACAAAGGCCAGAAGAGGGCATCAGATCCCCTAGAACTGGAGTTACATGTCAGGTTCTGCAAAAGCAGCCAGTGTTCATAAGAGTAAACAACCAGAAATAGACTGAGAGGCTGCAGTAGCCACTCACCTGCTACTGAGAAGTGGGTTTCACCACCCAGAGCTAAGTCTCTCTAAGATACTTAGAGAGCTAAGCTCCTCCCCTTGTTGTGTGGCCACAAACCACGGCGCC